GACCTGGGCCCGGGGCTAGCTCACTTGATTAGGACAGTGCTAATGAGGCCAGCGGTCCAAGTTTGGTTCCAGAGGGCTTCGTTCTTGTCCTCCAGATACTCACCGGCCTGTCTGGTTGTCCTACCCTTAGTCATAAAGTGTCCACGGCACAGGCTGCAGCCCAGAGAAACTGACTCCAGTACGAGAATCCTCCCCTGAAGCAGCTCCACTGCTGGTGGGCGGGAGGACTGTCCTTCTCGAAGGATGGAGATCATAGCATTCTCTGACCACAGCCATGACCACACCCAACACTGCCCTAGACTGGACAACTGGGGCCACTAGCCTTGGGCCCCATGCTTTACAGGGCTCCCCTTTGTCCTACTGGCCACACTCCTTCACATGGGATGAAAAGTCCACGGCCAAAGGGACAGGCCCACCCAGAGCCCACACCCCTCCTCTAGACCTCACTCAGGCTGCCCAGGACCCCAAGTTCCCCACCTACATTCATTCCAGCGCCTGCCCAGGCCTCTGCCCCAGGTCTGCCTTCCCAAGGGTGCACTGAGCTGCTGGCCTGGAGAGTAGGGAAGATGTCCGTACACTGGGAACCATACACCCAGGAGTGATGGAACCAGGGACTAGGAAAAAAGAGGGCTACATCGTGAGCCAGGGACCGCTATCAGTACTTGTCCTCTGGGTCCCACAAACACTAGGGTGGGCCTGCAAGGGGTGAGGGAAGCCTGGGTCCTCAAGGTAGCTTTCTCCCAGAATTGAGGGCCTTGAGCCAAAAGGGAAATGAATAAGCCCAGCTTGCTAGGAAAGCATGTGAAGTCAGGGCCATCCTAGGCTAGAGGTAAGGTGTAAAGAGAACAAGGTCTTCTGATGGGCCTGGTACCATGTGCAGGAGCCAGGATTCCCCAATTCAAACCCCCCGCCCTCCTCTGAGGGTTATTATGTTTATGAATAGCTACCCTTCGTTGACCACTTAAAATACTCCAGATAATTCAGTTATCATATCATTAATCCTCTACAACTCTAAGGCAAATAATATAATCCCAATTTATAGATAAGGAAATAAAGCTCAGAAAGGCTGTGTAAGGTGCCTAAGGTCACACAGCCTGTAGGTAGTGGAGGTAACCTTTACACTCAGGCAATCTGATTCTCAAGCCAATTCTTGACCTCTAGGCTGCACTGCCCCAACAGGAGTGTAAAGAGAAATAAGTCAAGAGCTATGAAAACAGGGCTCTTTACAGCAAAGAGGACCTGCATGTTTGAGTATTGTTAAGGCTATAGTAGTCCATGACAGTAGGCTCACTGAATCATTCGATGAACATGTACTGTCTATGTCTCCATGCCAGACACTCGGCTGGGTTCTGAGACTTGTAGATGAGTAAGCACCTGTCTGCAAGGAATGTGGAGCAGTGGCTTCTGAATCAGCAGGTCTAAGAATGCGCATTTCTTTTTTTCTTTCTTTTTTTTTTTTGCGGAGGAAGATTAGCCCTGAGCTAACATCTGTGCTGATCTTCCTCCACTTTATATGTGGGTCACTGCCACAGCATAGCTGCTAAGTGGTGTAGGTCAGCACCCAGCATCCAAACTGTGAACCCAGGCAACCGAAGGGGAGCATGCAGAACTTAACCACTCCACCACAGGCTGCCCAAGACTGTGCATGTCTAACAAGGTCTCAGGAGGTGCTGCTGCTGACCTGAGGAACCCCATTTGAGAACCACTTTGGTAGAAGTTGTGACCATCAAGAGTCCCTCTGCTGAGTTGTGAGGCAAAGGGGAACCCCGCTGCTCTCCCTTCCCTGGACAGGTGGAAGGAGGAGAAAATAACCCTCCAAGTCCTCCTTGAAGGAGGAAACCCTTCCAAAGCTTCTCCAGGGGCAGCGCGCTGAGGCCGGGGGTGGGGGGTGGTGGGGCGCACCGCCCGCGAGCCCTTCTGAGTGGATCAGGTCTCTGAGCACCAGCTGGTGGCTCCCTCCCTGCGGTCCCTCCAGCGGCCTGTTCCTCCAGCCCGCAGCAGCTACTCCGTGCAGGTTTGAACCTTGTGACATCCGCAGACATTTAACACAACCAGAGGGGCGGGGAGCCGGGATTCCCCGGGAGGCCTTTTCAGATCCTGCCCGTTGTGTTGGGGAGCATGGGAGACAGCGGGTGTCCTGCGCCTGCGCAGACTGAGAATCAGCGGACCAGAGTCCCGCTCCTCTCCCCTCTACGAAGACGCGCGGGGGATGATCAGCAAGGAAGGCCGCCTCGGGAGTAGGTAAATAAGAAACAAATCGAAATGGAAGATTGGCCAGGAGCCCCTGGGGATTAACTAACTAATTAATCCCCACACCAGTTTGATGAGGGACTAATTAATCCGTTAAGCGCCTGGAGGGGCCACCACGACCTGGCCAAGCGCGGGGCGAGCTCCTCTCACCCGGGGAGGCTGGCGCTGGGCGCGGCCCTTCTCAGAGCTCTTCAGGGAGGACCTGCCTCGCCTCCTCTGCATCCAAGTCGGCCTCTCAAGCTGTTTCTGGAGCCCTGCTCGCTGTCGCTCTGCCCGGAGCACCGAGGGAGGAAGAGAGCTCTGGGGAAAGGCTGTGGCCTCCAGCCTCTGGAGGGACCAGCTGGAGAAGTCGAAGCCAGGGAGCCTCAGAAAGGAAAAGCCCTCGGCGATGCGATTTCCAGCTGGAGAGTCAAGTTGACACAGTACCCTGGCTCGCTGTTTGGACCTAGAGACGACCGATGTTTGTTGAGAATCATTTCTACTCAGCGCCCAGGCAGGGAGAATTCCTATCTCGCGTGGGTGTTGACTTTAACTCCACCTGGGAACTCAGCAGCTGCCAAAATCTTTCTAAAATCGAACCAGTGTGGCCTGATTAAGACTAAGATGATCATTTTACCTTTTTTTTTTTTCCCCCAAACAGCCATGGGGCTCTGCTGCGGATTCTTTTTTTTTTAACATTTTATTTTTTATTTTAATTTTTATTTATTTATTTATTTTTAATTTTTCCTTCTTTTCCCCAAAGTCCCCCCACCCCCCCACCCCAGGACATTGTTGTATATTTTAGTTGTGGGTCCTTCTAGTTGTGGGATGTGGGACGTGGCCTCGAAATAGCTTGATGAGCCTCGCTAGGTCCATGCCCAGGATCTGAACAGGCAAAACCCTGGGCCTTGGAGGCAGGGAGCACAACCTTAACCACTCGGCCACCCAGCCGCCCCTGTATGTTTTTCTTTATTGCAGTAACAGTTTATAACATTATATAAATGTCAGGGGTACATTGTAATATATTTCGATTTCTACAGAGATTACATCATGTTCACCACCCAAAGACTGATTACAATCTATCCCCACACGCATGTGCCTAGTCACCCCTCTCCCCCTCCTCCCTTCCCCTCCAGTAACCACCAATCCAATCTCTGTTGCTGTGTGTGTGTTTGTGTTTCTTTTTATCTTCTACTTATGAGTGAGATCATATGGTATTTGACTTTCTCCCTCTGTCTTATTTCACTCAGCATAATACCCTCAGGGTCCATCCACGTTGTCACAAATGGCCAGATTTCATCATTTCTTAGGGCTGAGTAGTATTCCATTGTGTATCTATACCACATCTTCTTTATCCATTTGTCCCTTGATGGGCACCTAGTTTGCTTCCAAGATCATTTTATCTTTATGTGATTGTTCATGAGCTTTGGTAATAAATCCCAGGCTCATCACAACATGTTGAGTTGGGCCCTGAAGTCTGCTTAGATTTTTCCTATCATTCGCTTTCTGACACTCTTGTTAATCTTCTGTGCCCCCGAAGCCCAGTTTGCCTCCTGTTACAACCTGATCTCAGAAAATTTTCCAATGGCAGCCATCTGGGAATGTAAACGACCCTTACCTTTCCCAGAGAAAGTTTTCTTTAGAGTCTTCTCTCTCATTGCAAAACAAAAGGCTCCACCACCAAAGTGGTAAAGGGCTTTCTAAGACCAGGCAGCGTGCACTGAGGAATTCTGGAACAGCCACGCCCAGAATCGCAAAGTGAGATGTGTGGAGCAAACTGTGGTGATACCGTCAGCAGCACGGAAGCCTGCACAGTCGTGATGCCGACTGGGAGCCAGGCCATTGACGATTCATTTAATCAACAGGTGTTGTGTACCAGACTTGCTTCCAGGTGTTAAGGACATAAGGTGGAATTTGACATGATTCTGTGCCCATGGGGGCCCCCTGTCTAGTAGAAGGGAGAGAGGGGCAATTGTTAAGCAGAAGTTGCCACTTAAGAGCGATGCCTGAAATGACTAAGCACTGTCGGGTCTCTGTGAAGCCAAACCCCGGCCTCCAGAGTGGATCCGCTGGGGCCCCTGGTCCCAGCCTGAGGCTGACAGACCGCAAAGCTTGCAAATCTGCCCTGAGCCAGAGTTGGTGTGCGATTCCCCAGCTTTGCGGGCATCAGCCTGACAGAGGGGCCTTCTTAAAACCCAGCTTGCTGGGCTCCACCCTGGAGTTTCTGATTCAGTAGGTCTGGAGTGAGGCCCTAGAATATGTCTTTCTAACACGTTTCTTAGATGTTGCTAATGCTGCTGGGTCCAGGGACTACACATTGAGGACCACTGTGCTAGAAGGTTCTGATCCACTCCAGGTGCGGTGAAAGAGGGGTGCATCAACCAGCACCTCTAGCCTCCACAACTGCTCCCAGGCCCAGGCACTGCCGAGAGACAGCCAAGCAGGCTGTTCACTTCATTCCTCCTCGACCCAGCATTTGCCTGCTGCCTTTAATATCCATTTGTTTGGGGGCTGGCCCCGTGGCCAAGTGGTTAAGTTTGCGCGCTCCGCTGCAGGCGGCCCAGTGTTTCATTGGTTTGAATCCTGGGTGCGGACATGGCACTGCTCATCAAACCATGCTGAGGCAGCGTCCCACATGCCACAACTGGAAGGACTCACAACTAAGAATATACAACTATGTACCGGGGAGCTTTGGGGAGAAAAAAGGAAAAAAAAATTTGTTTGTTTGTTTTAGGGTGGTTTATCTGTCTCTGTGTTTCTTTTTCAAATAGAGTGAAATGGATGAGAACCAAATCCAGATGGCTGGAGATGACGTGGATTTGCCCGAAGATCTCCGGAAAATGGTAGATGAAGATCAAGAAGAGGAAGAAGATAAGGATTCTATCCTTGGGCAGTTCCAGAATCTTCAGAACATGGACTTGGATACCATAAAAGAAAAAGCCCAGGCCACCTTCACAGAAATCAAGCAGACGGCAGAGCAGAAGTGTTCTGTGATGTGAGGGACAGGCCAGGTGGAAGAGGGACGCAGGCCAAGGCAGAAGTGACCACTCTCCCAGGGAGCGTTTTGAGCAGCGTGTACTTTAACATAGTGAATAGACTTAGAATCCTGATGATAAAGCTCTCTACAGACACAGAGACCACAACTTGACGTTCTCAATGTTCCTGGTAGAGCGTTTAGCTAGCACCTTGCAGCAGGAAACATACTTTCCTTTTAGTTATAAATGTGGCGGAGTATGAAATGTCACCTGTGAATGATGCAGAAGACATATCTGCTTAAAGATCTTCAGGACAGCCAAGAAGAAATGAAGCAAATGGCATTTCCTCTCCAACTTCCTTCCTTAGAGGGCAAGGAACCTTTGCCTAACCCTGTCTGGGGTTAGGCTATCTAACCCTGTCGCATGACTTCAGGTCCCTTCAGAGGAAGTTGGAGAAGGTCAGAGTGCCCACTGGGAGCCCAGGCTGCCGGCTCAAGGACAAGCAGAGACCACATCCCCTCTCACTCCCAGGCTCCTTGACATCATTGATGCTTCTCATCAAGCTTGGCACTTAGTTTGAAGCCAAGGGAAAGTAGCAGGATGTGGTAAAAGATGTGAAGTGAAGACAGAGAATGGACTTGACCAGCCCTTTGCATTGTAGCTCATCATTCTAGAGGCCACGCGAAGAATGGATTTTTGCGGGGTGAGACTAGAGGCAGGGGGCAATGAGGAAGGTTACTGCTGTTTCTGCATTCAGTATCATCTCCTCTTGTCTGAACTTGGTGACAGCAATGGGAACAAAGGGAGTGGACAAATAGAGAGCATTGAGAAGTTAAGTCAATCTCTCTGTGTGTCTCTTTCTCTCTCATCCTCTCCTCCTCTTGCCCCCTCTCCCTACATCTCCTCCTTTTTCCTCTCCTGTCGCTCTCCATCCCACTCCTTCAGACTAGCTTCCAACGAATCATGCTGTCATTCCATGTCACAACCTTCCAGGGTATACATGGATTTCCTAAGATTTGCTCTCTTTCAAAGGGAATTTTTCAAAAGACTTAGAACATTTACCTCTGAAGTCCTTAGAGCTGCTGAGCCAAAGCCAACCAAACCAAAACGAAATCCTGGTTTTTCAGTGAGAATAAATAATTCTCAAAGAAAAATTTTGTCAAGAAGAACTACTCTATCAGAGGAAAGGGAACTAAGACCAAAAAGCGAGGGGCTAACTTCTTCTATACTCAGAGTTCCTGAATGTGTTGTACAAGACGTTTCATGTTATGAGAATACACAAATAAAACAAATTATTAGGGGTCCAGAACCCATGGTCCTTGGCAAAGTTTAACCCCTCTTGGAAGTTCCTGGGAGAATACTGATGCAATGTTTAAGGGTAATTAACCCTGAAGTCCACTTTCTTAGTCCATTCACGCTGCTATAACAAAATACCTTACAAACAACAAACATTTATTTCTCATAATTCTGGGGCCTGGAAGGCCGAAATCAGGGTGCCAGCATGGTAGGGTGAAGGACCTCTTCTGGGTTGTATAGTTCTTATTTTATCCTCACTGGTGGAAGGAGTAGGGGGGCTCTGTGGGGCTTCTTTTATAAGAGCATTAATCTCATGCACAAGGGCTCCACCCTCATGACCTAATCACCTCCCACAGGCCCCGCCTCCTAACATCCTCACCTTGGAGGTTAGGATTCGACCTGTGAATTTAGAGGGGACACAAATTCAAGCCCGACCATCCACAAACCCTAGATACATTGGACATATTTTTAAATCATGCTTGTCTTCCATGAGAACTGGCATGTGAGTCGCGATTTGTTTTATAGTGGGAATGTTAAAATATTCACGATTTTAAAAGCTATAAAATAATGGATAAGATTTCTTTTCAGTTCAGTGCCTGATTCTGCCCTATAATTATCCCCGTGGGTGGAATGGGTGGGTGATGCACGTGGCCTTGCATTTATACACTTTGTTGTGACATAAAATACTGTGGCTGCCAAATTATCCCGCAGACTAGCTGCAGGATGACACAGAAGAATTGCTTTCTTGTAAAAGATGCAGCCAGTGGTGTTAAGGAAATCACTAAGTTACTGGCACTTCATCTTGACAAGCAATATGCTCCAGTAGCGTTTGGTCCCCGTCCCAGTGGAGCAGCGTACCTGCTGGAGGACTCTGGCCGTGGTTATCTGATTCCTCTAGTCTCACAACACGCCACACCACGTTACGCCACGTAACCTCACCCCCTAGTGCACCATATTGCACCACAGCACAGCACACCAGCAGCACCTTCCCTCCATCTGCACAAGCCACATGCCTGTGGGTTGGAGGAGGGAGGGCCTGTATTAGGGGATTCAGAAGGCCTTTCCCCTCTAGAGGCAGATGGTGTCTGTGTCATGTGATGGACAAAAAAGGATCTTCCTTCACCAAAACAAAGTATCTAACAATTGTTAAGGACTAGGAAAGAATCTATGCCAAACTCCCATAAATAAAGAGATAAAGGCAATCCTTTTACAACACCCTAGTTGAGCCTTATCTGAAAATTTCCAGTGGTACAGAATTCACCATCTGCTATTTCAAAGGAATTCAGCCACTAACTTTTCCATTCATGGAGTGGACACCTTTAATTGTTAGAAAATGCTTTCTTGCCTTAGGTTGAAATTGGCGGCATCTTTGACCCATTTGTCATGGTTCTGTTGTGTGGAGCTAGACAGATACATCCAAATTCCCACTTGGGCCTTTGATGGGGTCCCAACTTAGTTTTCTATTTTCCAGGTAAAACCTCCAATTCCCTTCTGTGTGACCTTGAACAAGTCATTTATCCTCTCTGGAAATTCATTTTCTCAGTAGTAAAAATGAAGGGGCTGGATTACTTTATCTCCTGCCATTCATCCTATGGTTTCAGGTTGGTCAAGATCAAATATAGCTTTATCTTGTGAAACAGAGCACATTAGCCCGTGGTCACTGTCACAGAATCAGGGTTCTGTCCCTTTACTAACTCCAGTTGAGCAAAGGAACACAGGCCTCAGGGGTGGAGAGGGGACAGAGGGTTTTGGTAGGATCTAGAAGGGAGAAGGGTCTGGAACATAGAGGGTTGCCCATGAAAAGAAAATCCAGGGGTTTGCAGAGCATTTCCAGCCAGGAGGAAGGAACCCTAAGGACCGTGCGGAGAGGTGCTGAAGAATGATTTCCAGGAAGACAAATTCCATGGACTTCCCAGTTTTGCCTACAGTTAACCTAGTCCCCACCTGGATCCGCACTCCTACAGCACAATGAAGCGGGCCATCTTCTTTTGAAAGCATATTGATGTCATGAGCTCAGTTATTCAGAGGCCAACTAATCCAGTTTGTGAGTTACGTAAGCACGTCAGTTTGCGCTCCTGACACTAGAAATCTGGTCAAATTGCCGCCACAAACAGGACCATCAGAGACAGGGAGAGGAGTGAGACTAAAAACGAACAACCCGGGGGTTTGCGGCTTCTGATAACCGAGGATTCACTCCTACTGGATTAACCCTCCTGCAGATAACAACTATAAACTCCCCACCAGATACAAAAGAAACAACTGCCTGAAGGCCCCAGAGAGCAACCCAAAGCAGGTCAACCCTGGAGGGGAACCAAATCTACACTTGGAAGAAGGAAAAAGCACTGGTGAGCTTTCCTTTGTTTAGAGGTTTCATCTGAGGGCAGACCCCTGTCAAGCTAAGTAAGATGCTAAAACTCAGATAGAAAATCTGCAGCCGTGTTGGCCTCAAGAACCGGCAGGGTTTGGGGTGACCACAGAATTATAAAGTGAAAGAGCTATTTCCAGAAGGGAAACAGCCATGGGAGGACAGGCCTAAATTCTGTGTATGAAGTCTGTTCAAGATGCTGGCTGATCCCTGACCTGTACATGTAGGAGGCAGACTCCACGCAGCCCAGTTAAGGTTAAACAGCTGAACAGAGAATTCTGCGGCTGCCCACCCATGGGAAACAGTTTGGATTTTGTATCCAGTCAAGTTTGCTGACAGCTAATCAAACAAATAAACAAAAGTCCTCTTCATAAAAATGTAACTCAGGAAAGTAAGTAGAAGGGAGGAAATAATAAAGATACGGGCACAAATCAATGAAATAGAAAAACAAAAGGGGCTGAGTGGTTAACTTCGCACGCTCCACTTCGGCAGCCCAGGGGTTCACCAGATCGGATCCTGGGTGTGGACCTAGCACCGCTCATCAAGCTGTGCTGAGGCGGTATCCCACATAGCAGAGCCAGAGGGGCCTATAACTAGAATATACAACTGTGTACTGGGGGGTTTTGGGGAGAAGAAGAAAACAAAAAAAGATTAGCAACAGATGTTAGCTCAGGTGCCAGTCTTAAAAAAAAAACAGAAAAAGAAAAAGAAAAAAGCCCAAAAGTAGGTTCTTTAAGAGGATCAACAGACCTGTCAGACGTGAGCATACTGCTCAAGAAAAAAAAGAGTGAGAACACAAATTACCAACATCAAAAATGAAAAAGGGGATATACTACAGATCCTACAGACACTAAAAGTTTAATAAGGAAATATTATGCAGAACTTCATGCCAATAAATTTGACAATTTAGTGAACTTGACAAATTCTTTGAAAAAATACAGCTTACAAATACTGACACAAGAAGAATAGAATAACCCCATGTTTATTGGAGAAATAGAAGTAATTCTCAAAATCTTATCTGCAAAGAAGAACCCAGACCCAAATGGCTTCACTGGTGAATTCTGTCAAATATTTAAGGACTATTTAATATTTAATTTTACCCAAACTCTTTCAGAAAATAGAGGAGGACGGAATTTGTTCAAGTAATTTTATTAGGCAAATACCCTGACACCAAAATCTGACAAAAACATTATAAAAATGGAAAATCACAGGTCAATATCCCTGCTGAATAAAGATGAAAAATCCTTAACAACTAATAGCAAATCAAGTCCAGCAATATAAAAAGAAAGAATAATATAAAGAAGTTAAGTTTATAAACAAGCCACATGTAAGTTACAGACTGGGAGAAAATATTTCCAAAATGTATATCTGACAAAAGATTGGAATCCAACAGATATATATATATAAATTACACAAATTTATATATATATATCAACTAATAATTTATATAAATTACATATATTTGCATATATTTATATCTGACAAAAGACTGGAATCTGAGGTTTCAGTCTTTTGTCAGATACAGCTATATGAAATATATATAATTTATATTAATAT